CGTTCTAAGCAAATAAGATGTAAACATGACAAAATTACATGCAAATCATAAAGTGACATGATATGGCCAATATCATCTTGCGCCTTTGATCTCCATCTTTGAGGCGCGGCATGATTACCTTCGTCACCGGCATGACACCATGATCTCCATCATCATGATCTCCATCATCGTGTCTCCATGAAGTTGTCTCGCCAACTATTACTTCTACTACTACGGCTAACGGTTAGCAATAAAGTAAAGTAATTACATGGCATTGTTCAATGACATGCAGGTCATACAATAAATTAAGACAACTCCTATGGCTCCTGCCGGTTGTCATACTCATCGACATGCAAGTCGTGATTCCTATTACAACAACATGATCAATCTCATACATCACATATATCATTCATCACATTCTTTTGGCCATATCACATCACACGGCATATGCTGCAAAAACAAGTTAGACGTCCTCTAATTGTTGTTGCAAGTTTTTACATGGCTGTTATAGGTTTCTATCAAGAACGTTTCTTACCTACACCAAAACCACAACGTGATATGCCAATTGCTATTTACCCTTCATAAGGACCCTTTTCATCGAATCCGATCCAACTAAAGTGGGAGAGACAGACACCCGCTAGCCACCTTATGCAACTAGTGCATGTTAGTCGGTGGAACCTGTCTCACGTAAGTGTACGTGTAAGGTCGGTTCGGGCCGCTTCATCCCACAATACCGTCGAAACAAGATAGGACTAGTAACGGTAAGAATATTGAACAAATCATCGCCCACAACTACTTTGTGTTCTACTCGTGCATAGAATCTACGCATAGACCTAGCTCATGATGCCACTGTTGGGGAACGTAGCACAAAATCAAAATATTCTACGCATCACCAAGATCAATCTATGGAAAGACTAGCAACGAGAGAGAGGGGAGTGCATCTTCATACCCTTGAAGATTGCGATGCGGAAGCGCTACAAGAACACGGATGAAGGAGTCATACTCGTAGCGATTCAGATCACGGTTGATCCGATCTAGGCACCGAACAACGGCGCCTCCGTGTTCAACACACGTACAGCCCGGGGATGTCTCCTACTTCTTGATCCAGCAAGGGGAGAGGAGAAGTTGAGGGAGAACTCCGACAGCACGACGGCGTGGTGGTGATGGAGCTCGTGGTTCTCCGGCAGGGCTTCGCCAAGCACTACGGAGGAAGAAGAGGTGTTGGAGGAGGGAGGGGCTACGCCAGGGAAGAGGTGCGGCTGCCCTCCCACCCCTCCACTATATATAGGGGCAAGGGAAGAGGGGGAGGCGCCCTAGGGTTTCCCCTAGGGGGTGGCAGCCAAGCAGATTGGATCTCCCTAGGGAAAATCCTAGGGAGACTTGCCCCCCAAGCCAAGCAGGTGGAGGATTGCCTCCCAAGCCAGGTGGAGGCGCCCCACCTCCCTGACTAACGTGGGAAAGGGTGTGGGGGGCGCACCACCCCTTAGTGGGCTGGTTTTCCCCTTCCCCTTTGGCCCATGAGGCCTTGCAACACTTGCCGGGACCCCCGAAACACTTTTCGGTCATGCTAGCCATAGCCTGGTACCCCCGGAACACTTCCAGACTCCAATACCCTTCGTCCCATATATCGATCTTCACCGCGCGGACCATTCCGGAACTCCTCGTGATGTCCGGGATCACATCTGAGACTCCGAACTACCTTCGGTAACCACATACTATTTCCCATAACAACTCTAGCGTCATCGAACCTTAAGTGTGTAGACCCTACGGGTTTGGGAACCATGCAGACATGACCGAGACGTTCTCCGGCCAATAACCAACAGCGGGATCTGGATACCCATGTTGGCTCCCACATGTTCCACGATGATCTCATGGGATGAACCACGATGTCGGGGATTCAATCAATCCCGTATACAATTCCTTTTGTCAATCGGTATGTTACTTGCCCGAGATTCGATCGTCGGTATCCCAATACCTCGTTCAATCTCATTACCGGCAAGTCACTTTACTCGTTCCGTAATGCATGATCCTGTGACTACCTACTTAGTCACATTGAGCTCATTATGACGATGCATTACCGAGTGGGCCCAGAGATACCTCTCCGTCATACGGAGTGACAAATCCCAGTCTTGATTCGTGCCAACCCAACAGACACTTTCGGAGATACCTGTAGTGTACCTTTATAGCCACCCAGTTACGTTGTGACGTTTGGTACACCCAAAGCACTCCTACGGTATCCAGGAGTTACACAATCTCATGGTCTAAGGAAATGATACTTGACATTAGAAAAGCTTTAGCAAACGAACTACACGTTCTTGTGCTATGCTTAGGATTGGGCCTTGTCCATCACATCATTCTCCTAATGATGTGATCCCGTTATCAATGACATCCAATGTCCATGGTCAGGAAACCATGATCATCTATTGATCAACGAGCTAGTCAATTAGAGGCTCACTAGGGACATGTTATGGTCTATGTATTCACACATGTATTGCGGTTTTCGGTCAATACAATTATAGCATGAACAATAGACAATTATCATGAACAAAGAAATACAATAATAACCATTTTATTATTGCCTCTAGGGCATATTTCCAACACGGTGCTGGGTACAATTCTGGGTGCGTGCTGGGTCGACCCAGCTATGCATGACAGGTGGACCTTTGACCGGTTGAAAGGTGGATGATTGACCGTTGACTGCCAACTTTGAGAAAAGATAAAAACGTGGATTGGAAAACAGTTCAAAAATTTCAAAAAAATATGAAAAGGTTCAAAATATGTGTACAAGTTCATGGATTATGGAAAAAAAATACAAATTTTAAAAAATAATGGGTTCGAAAACAGGCCATTAAACTCAAAGAGCTTCACGTGTATGAAAAAGTTAAAGAATCTAGATTTTTTTTGAAAAAAGTTCATGGATTTGAAGAAAGTTTGTGGTTTTCTGTAGAGAGATAATTAGTTGTATACCCGTAGTTGTGTCCCAGCCGGCTGTTTTACCCCTAATTCCCAAAAGCTATCGGTTCTGTCCAAGTCACTTTGCTCCTCTTATGCTTTTGCCCTTTGACCGTCAGTTTGAAAACTTCATAACTAATTCATACTAAATCAGAAAAATGAAAATAAGATACCAAAATGCTCGGAAAAACATCACCTATATTTCAGTGTCATTTGCATTCGTGACAAAAGTTTTGGAAAGCGCCCGCCCGAGTTTTAGCTCTTATGATGCCATCATGAATAGTAAAATCTATTTAGATTTTATTATTCATGGTGGTATCATATGAGCTAAAACTCGGATGGGCACCTTCCAACACTTTTGTCATGACTGTAAATGACATTGACATATATGTGATGTTTTTTCTGAGAATTTTGATATCTTATTTGCATTTTTCTGATTTACAATGAAATTAGTTATGAATTTTTTGAAGTGACGGGCAAACGGTCAAAGGGAAAAAGTATAAGAGGAGCGAAGTCACTTGGACAGAACCGACGTCTTTTGAAATTTGGGGTAAAACAACCGTGTGGGACACAACTAGGGGCATAAACTAATTATTCCTTTTGTAAAAGTCCGCGGATTTGGAAATGTTCATTCATTTGCAAAAAGTTCATGTATTCAATTTTTCACATTTTTTAAAAAATCACGAGTTTTGAAAAAAAAAATATGAAATAAATTCTTGAATTTAAAAAAAATGGCAAAATTTGAAAGAAGTTCTTAAATTTGGAAGAATTTCACAAATTTGATAAAAAATTGGAAAGAAGTTCACACATTTGAAAAAAAGGAAATAAAAATGAAATGAAATTTAAGAACAGTTCACAAAATAGAAAAAAGTTCACGTATTTGAAAAAAATCGAAAAATTTGACCTAAAATCTATACCTACTAATAAAAGAAAAAGGTATTCTTAGTCCATCATGCTATTTTGTAGAAAACTCCTTGATGTTTCTGACATTAAACGCGCAGTACGTATCAAATGTTCTTTTAAAATACTCATATCTTTTAAACCGTAACTCCAAATTTAACATATTATATATGAAATTTGATTAGAAAAATATATAGAATCTAAATATGATGTTATTTTACCTGTTAACAATTAAAAAATACTACCTAGGCTGCAATGTTAATCAACAATGCATTATCCGTCTTTTTTTATACCGGTACTAATTCAGATTGGGGATGAACACCTCAGCAAAATCAAGATTGGACATCAAACTGAAGATAAATTTATTAGAGACACCAATAAATAAGGTCATGCATGACAAGAAATAAAAGGACCAAATAAAGATGGGATGTCCACTATAAAATAAATAAAAGAAAAAATGCAGAGGAGATCCGATGAAGATGAGATGTTGCGCTATTCTCCTATATATAAGAAGATAAAAGAGAGGCATGCATGAAAAAAAGTAAAAAGGAGGCATGCATGACAAAAAGTAAAATAAAAGACAAGTTTGATAAGAAGTAAATACTGATGAAACAGGGACCAATACCTATGACATATATGACAAGAAATAATGATGAAATAAGGGCACACATACCTGCATCAACATGAGACCATAAAAATGTTCTTTTCCAGACCAAAAAAAAATCTCCTTTTATGATTAAAAATTCCTATATCTTTTTAGCGACCTTTTTAACTTTTTTGGTATTTAAGAAATAGCTACAAATTCTCAGATTATAGAATACTTTTTGTAAATTAAGAGCATGTGGTATTTTTTTTTCTCCCGTTACAACTACGGGTCTTTTTGCTAGTTTGGCTTACATATGATGCATTCGAGACGGGACGGGTACAGGATGGACCACAAGGAGGGGCCCGTAGAGGCGAAGCGAGGACGTCCAAGCGTAACGGCCGGCCGCAACTAACAAACTCCCGCCCCTGCCTTCCTCCGCCCTTTCTTCTTCTATCCTCGAACACCTCCCCTCTCTTCCTCTAACTGCTCCTATATATATCTGCCCCAGCGCCCACGCACGACTCCAGGAGAGAGCCCACCGCACGACGGAGAGAGAGAGAGAGAGAGCGCGACATCCCGAGAGATGAGCAGCGGTGGCAGCATGTCAGCGGCGCTGGCGAGGTCCAGCGGTGGCAGCATGTCCCCGGCGATGGCATGGTCACCGTCATCCAGGAGGGGGGAGCACAGGAACGGCGGCGGCCGCTTCAGGGCGGAGATCGAGATGGACACGGGCGTTGCCCTTCCCAGGCGAGTCATCCTTCTCTCGATTCTTTCCTCCTTCTTGGTTCCGTCCTCCAACGTTTCTCTCCACTTGCTCTGTTTCTTCCGCGCGCCGATGCTTACTGAGCTCGCCTCCGTTCTCGCGGTCGCCTCCCGCCATTGTTGCACCTCTCTGCCCTGCTCTGTTCATTCAAGGATTGCTCGCTTTCTTGCTCGACGTGTCTCTGTTTCGGACCGGGTTAATTGATTCTTGGTGTTTGGTTCGCGACTCGAAATGCAGGGGCCCGGAGCTTGGGTTCGCCGCCGCCGTGCGAGAGCCGCTGGTGAGGCTGCAGCGCCCCAAGTACGACTTCGAGAGGTGGGACTGGGGCTACTTCGCATGGCCGCACGACCGTCTCGACGGTAAGCATCTTCCTCCCGGTGCGATCGAGTGCGCCAACTGATTGCTCACTAGTCACTACTGAATCTGGACAGGCATTTAGGCTAGGTTAATCCCTCCACCGCCTTTCTTTCGGTTCAGGACTAGTACTAGATGCCTCTAGTTGAGTTGACCGTTGGTTACTGAATCTGGACGGGAAAGTTGGCTTGGTTAATCCCACCTATCCTGTTATGTTCCACAGCATGGAAGGTTGCTGTATCTGTAAATTTTCGTGGGACTAGATACCTCTAGTTGAGTTGACAGTTAGTGACTGAATCTGGACGGAAAGTTGGCTTGGTTAACCCCCCATCTTGTTTGGTTTCGGAGCCTGGAAGGTTTCTGTATCTGTATACTCTGATGGGAAGGATGTAGAAACGCCTATCTCTGATAGCTAACTGTTCATATCTAGGCAAGTTTAGTTAGCTGTCCCTGAAAAGAAATTGGATTCATTGTGTCTGCAAATGCGAATGCAGATGCAGTACCTGTTTTACAGGATTGGGCGTGGCAAAAATTTCGAAATCTTTCGAGGAAATCTAGACGGAAAATTGGGTTATGTTGGTACACATATTTGCTTATGTTGGCACAATGCCACAATGGTTACGTTTGATTCTTCATTAGTCTCCTTTAGTCCTTTTTTATCAGCAGAATGCTGTAGAAACACAAATTACAAATTCTGACAATGAAGAGAAACATGTCCACAATCCAACTAAGACACTGAATATTTTGTATCAGCAAGTCAAATGGAAGTACAGTAACTGTTTAAGTTTGTCTCGTTGGACATAACCCAATTAAACTTGGTGTCATTCCTGTTCAGTTCAATCTGACTCTGTTTACTTCTTCAGTAATCTTTGATTTGAGTATTGCTGTTGCAACACAAACTACATATTCTGACAAGATTGATCAAAATCCAGCCAATATGGAGATGAGGGACAGCGATCCGAGGGCGACATTCGAGGCGGACTCCAAGGTGACAGAGAGCTTCCTGAGCCGGAGCACACTGCTGCTAGAGGCCGGCGAAGGCTTCCCGAGCCAGAGTTCGCCGCAGCTAGAGGCGAGCGAGGGCGGCTTCACGGTCCAGAGCATGCTGGAGCCAGAGGCCGGCCAGTGCTGCCTGTGTCAGAGCACGCTGCAGCTGGGGGCCGGCCACGGCCAGTGCTTCCTGTGTCAGAGCACGCTGCAGCTGGAGTCCGTCCACGGCCAGGGCTTCCCGAGCCAGAGCACGCTGGAGCTAGAGGCCGCCGAGGGCTTCCTAATAAGCGAGAGCTGGCCGCAGCCGGAGGCGAGCGAGGGCTTCCCGAGTCAGAGCACGCTGCAGCTCGAGGCCGGCGAAGGCTCCCCAAGCGGCCGGAGCATGCTGCCGGTAGAGTTCGACGACGACACGCCCCTCGGACGCTACGCGCCGTGGCGTCGGGGATGCGCAGAGTCCAACCCGTTCCTGCTTGACCATTGCATGGCACCGCAAGATCGTTGGGCATACTAGGAGCAGGAGTGAGCCACGCCATGACCATCTCCCCCCTTGTCTGCAGCACACTGAGAAAGAAAGAGATCGAGGGGTAACCTACAAGCCGGACGACGATCTGACGACATGATCCCCAAATCTGAAGATTTTGGGTACGGTGTCTTGGCAGAGGAGAACAACCGAGGAGATTATTCTATTCAACTGGCAACAGGGGAGCTAAACCAGGAGAAGCAGAAGGTCGTCGACGGGACGATGGCGTCTGTTGATTCGTAGGTTGAGACTTGAGAGGCTGATGCGTCTGGCATCAGTTTGCTGATCGGGATACAGTAGGGTTAGCATCAACAAGTTTTGGTTCAAAACTGCCAGAAAGACACTCTGTAAAACTGTTAGAAAGAAACTCTGTACAGTAGAGATATACTCCATACACACCCATGTAAAGCTCCCCAGAATTCCATGGCTCTTCTGAACAACTGTTGTTGACTGAATTTGTACGCAGTATGCCAGCTGGTTTGTAATTTGATTGACCAGCTGGTTTGTAATTTGATTGATTGTCTTCGATCTCCTGGTATTCTATCACTTAGTATCACCACTTAGTAGTTAGTACTCCAGAAGAGGAGAGAATGAAAGAGGCAGCTCCGAACTTAGAGTACCTGGCTTCTTCCTTTATCATGTCATAAGAGCATCTCCGACAGGCGCCAAACGCGCCTACGCGTTAAAATCTGATTTGCTGCGCGCGCAACGCCAGATTTGGCGCACCGCGCAGCGCTTGCTCTAGCAGCAGCGTTAAAATGCAGCGCGCGCGCTGCACCAGCAGCGCGCGCGAGTAGCTGGCGCACACATTTTGGGCATAAGTTTCACACTTCAACACAACACACATGGCATCATTCCAACCAAGTTCGTGCCCAAAAGTTCATGTCCACAAGTTTAAATTCATGCCCACAACATAATTAAACCAAGTTCAACATGCAAATCAAGTTTATGATGACACAAACGAAAGACACAAGAATCAAGCCTCGTCCTCGTCTTCGTCTTCTTCCTCCTCCTCCGAAGACGATTCTTCCTCCTCCTCTTCATTGTTGCGCGTCATATCATCATCGCGTGAAGCTTGGATGGTGTTGCCAAGATCTTGAACGGCATCTTCATGCGAAGGTGGCACACCGGCGCCCGGAGGTGCACCCATGCCCCAAATGAGAGACACAAAACTCATGCCACCCATGCCACCCATGCCGTCCAAGCCGCCCGGAGGTGCTCCAAAGCCACCCATGCCTCTCATGGTCTCCATGGTAGCTCCAAAGCCACCCATGGAATCCATGCCGCCCATGGTAGCTCCAAAGCCACCCATGGAACCCATGCCGCCAAGGCCACTGGCACCCATGCCGCCACCGCCACCAATGCCGCCACCGCCACCAATGCCGCCAAGGCCACTG